CTGCAAAGACTGTTGCACCCTGTGCCCTGCTGCACACACACTTCTCACCACTCACTCTGGCACACAGAAGAATATCCAAGAAGTCCAAATGTCTCTTTTTCTGGACCTTTTCAAATTCCTGTTCATCTTTAAGGGATTCCTTCCGCTCATGGATCACCTTGTCTGGGGGAGAAAGAGTTAAAGGTTCAGGTTGAGCAGAGGCACGAGATGTCAAGCTACAAAATTGTCCTTCAAATGCAAAGCTCATGCAAGGGGATGACCAATTCTCAGTCCATGATGCATTTGACATGTGCTTCTGCATCCCAGACAGTTTGACCTTTTCAGCAGCACAGCAACAAATGCCATGCACATTGCTGTCCTTTTCTGCAAACTTCTTTGTCCACCACAGACTTCTCAGCCTATTTTACACAACCCTCATGCATTAAAATCACACCTGGCTCGGAAAGGAAAATCATTCCTTGCATCACTGTTGCCTGCAGTGTCTATCCCTTGACTCACCAGTCTCTGGTCATTTAGCAAGAGTGTTCCCAGAGGGGAATTCCCATGTTAGTGCAGTTTAATAGCCCAGGAGCTGTGAGACCCACCTTGCTTCATGCCTAGATCAGCACACTGATGGATCCCAGCTCTGAACCTCTGGGCAGGATCACTGTACGGGTAAGGAGGTAACTGGACTGCCTCTGAGCAGCCACCACTCACCCTATTTGAAAGCTTTGGAAGCACATGAAGGCAGGGAATACCTGTGTGGTCGTGAGCAAGCTGACAGGCCTTCCTGAACCGAAATCCATGGGGGCTGAGCCAGTAAATGATGTCATTGTGGTAGGGGAAGATGCGGAGCCGCTGGTGCACCATGAGGCAGAGGTCATAGACAGCCTGGATATAAGTGTTTTTCCTGGAGAGAGGGGAAAGGTGGAAGCAAGAAAATTTGGGAGCATCATGACAAGCAATTTGCCCATTTCCTTTCTGAGCTGCAAACTTCCTGCAAGGGTTTGGGGCAGACAGCACTGACCTGTTGGTCTGGCAGTTACTGTGACAACTGAAGGCACATTTCATGATACTATCGAGAGTCATCAAGCTGACATGCTCAAAGAGCTCCACTGGTTTCCCGTCTGTGACCAGCTTGTCCCATTTATCCTAGGGCACAAAGAAGACAGAAATGAGAAAGCAAGGCTCAGTTCTGCATGATCTGCAGTCACCCTCTGGTTAAATGAGTGCTCAGATAGGGATAAGTCCCAGAGAAATGGAAAATAAAGAGGAGGATCTCCTAGTTGCCATCAAAATCCCAGAGAAGAAAAGACAAGAATGGGATGGTTAATATAAGATTTGCCTCAGGGAGCTGCTATTCTTGGATCCTGGCATAGCTGAGCCCTGGTACACCCTATCCTCAGGCAAGGGCACCCTGGAGAAACCCAGGACAGGCATATTTCTAGGTGATGAGGTGTGTTACCAAACTCTTTCATAGGACACAATGTGTTTTCTGTACAAGAGCAGCATATGTTGACATTGGGCTTCACTGGGTCTGTTCTCAACCATGTGAGTTTGGTGCCCAAGATGCAATCTTTGGACCAAAGTTTTTTCTCTATCACACAGTCTCTTTGCCTCTGTGTTTGTCCAGCATATAACATAGGAACTCTTGCTCAACTCTTCCCATAGAAAATCCCTAGAGAAACTGCAATTGCCTGGCAAACATGAAATGATCCTCTCTCCCTTCATGGCTGTAAGGAACCCGTGGACTCAAAAGCTGAGAAAGGGAGGAAAGGGAGGAGCATTGTCATATCTGAGCTCCCACAGCATGAAACCAGGCTTATATGGCCAGATTCATGTCCTTAGCACATACAACGATTGCCACCTGGTGGCATGGGCTCCCACAATAGGCACTTTGCACTGCCCGCAAGGAATTGAAAACTCCCAGGCACTTGTGCACATTGGAAAAGCTCTCCTGGCTGTCCAGCCCCCAGCTCCTGGCTGCTCCCTAGACCAGTGGGAGGGATCCAGCCAGGATCCACATGAAGCTGCTGAGGAGGTTGGAGTGAGGGAGGCAAAGGAAAAGGAATAAATCCAGCACCCACACTCCTGCCAGTCCATATGCACAAAGCCTGGTGCCCTTCGCCTGTAATTCACACTGATTTCCATCCTGCCCAGCACCAATGGATGAAAGAACAGTGCAGTTTCACTGGGTATGATGCATGGCAGGGATTGCAATCCAGTCATGTTGACAGCAAATTATACCCTTTAACCTTAGGTGACAGTATAGCACTGCTCCAACCTTAATTTGGGGGGGATTTATTATGAATCTTTATTTCCTTCAGTTCTTCATTTACCAAAACACCTTACAAGAAATTGCAGTTGGGACTGAGATCATGCACTGTAAAGGGATGGCAAGAACATTAATCCTCAAATCTCAGCCACAGGTCCCAAGGCAGTATGAGAGACATCACCCCTGCAAGGGAAGCTCAACTTGCTCATTCCTTCCAAATCATGGGCAGGGGTTTGTGGTGACTCAGAAAGACTGACCATCACAAGGACACCGTGTGTCCTTACAATTACCAGGTAAAGAAAACTCTGCTCCAGCATTTATCTGGAATCAAGAAAAAGAAAACAGGGCAGAGAGAGGAGCATCAGACATGAATCCTACCAGCATCACATTAGTAGACTCTGCCATCAGGGCCACGTACGGTTTCAAGACGTCATAGTGAAACCCTGGAGTCAGGAGCTTTCGATGTTGGTGCCATTTTGGCCCATGTAAGATCAGCAACCCGTTCCCTGGGGAAACACAGGCAAGGCATGTTTTGCTGGGCACAAGCAGGCTGCTTTCACCTGCCTGCAGACACAGCCTCTGCCTGCAAGGAGCATGAATAAATCTGCTGCCTGAGCTGCTATGAGAGATAATTTCCAAATGTTCCAGGGTTCCCAGAGCTGAGCAAAGCCCTGCTCACCAAAAAGACATGGTACTGCCTCTGAAAAGGAACTCCAGCACTGCTGGAGCAGAAAGGTTCAGATCAACAGATGTATTTTACACCAGTTCTCCACTGAATCTAAGCTTTTCCAATCACCACCCTTTGCTATTTAGGGACATGCAAGTGGCTCTCATTTGTATGTATGGCTGTGTCTGAACTTTCCTTCCTTGAATCACAAGAAATAGAATAGTTTAGCACCTTTTTCAATAAAAGCAATAATGTCAGGAAGCTTTTGGCTATAACTCCATCAAGGAACAAACACAGTGCTCTTTATTTATAGCACATTTTTTACTAATTTCAGAATCATTCCGGGTAGGCAAAGTCCTGGGAATACATACCAATCCACGGGACAAGGTGTTTATAGCTGACGTTATCCTTGGGATCTGTGAAAAAAACACACATCGAGAAAGAGAAAATGGTAAATGTTTCAGAAGCATCAGCCCACCGGTTTGCACCCAAAAGCTCCCTCTGGGCCCTCACTTTTGGTTGGGTATGAAACAAAACCCATGGCATCCCCGCAGAACTCCTTAGTGTTTCACAACACAACAACTCTGTCAATGCCAGCTGCAATAAACACATATAATAAACAGATGCTCACACTGAAAAAAACAAGACTATCAGTAGACCAAAGTCTGAGCAGTGTAATAAATGATTAACCCTCCCAGACAGCACTGTTTAGCACCCTTTCTTCTTGATGCACTAAAGATACTTCTCTGCAGTAGAAGCCAGAGCTCTGGGAAGAGAAAAATGCTCCCAGGTGTCTTCTCCTTGCTGGGGTCAGGCACTGAGAAGATAACTTTTCAAGCAGCCCTTGAGGAAGTGTGATTTTCCAGCAATGGGTTTGGAGGGTCCACAGTCACTCTTGCAGCCTTGTGCCTGAAGCACCCAGGGCACGGCATGAAGGAGGAGAGTCTCTCCATGCCTTTAGATAATTTCTGCAAGATATCCACTCTGTGCAACCCTATCTTGCTGTGAATTTTGAGGCTGCTGTGGGAAATCTGCAGGCTGTGGTTTCTGCTCCACAGCTGAAGGCATCATCTCTTACCTCCTCTGGCCAACACAGCCTTGGCATAGTCGGGGTCACTGATAACAAGGATTGCTGAGAAACTCCCAAACCAGACAGGGTGAGCATGTAGATACTTCTGTGCCCAGATCTCTGCCTTGTCCAGCACCTCTTCCTCCTTGAGAAACTAATTTTGGAGAGGTAAAATGAGAAAGAGCACTTAGATTTGGAGAAAAAAAATAAAGAATCTACCAACACACTGTCTTAAAAATTTCAAGGCCTTTCTGATCACAAAACCAAGTCAGGGCAAACAAGGTGTTTGTCTGGGTTTGCAAAGCATGAAAAGTAGAGATGCTTGTTACTTTTAAAGCTCAAATAAAATAATTCTTCCTTATCACTTGACCCTAACCACGGAGGGCAACCTTAGGAACGGCGATGGTGCCTATCAGCGCACATACATTATCTGTTCTTTTTCCAAGGCCACCCCAAAGACTCAGATTTGCCTCAGAAAGAATCTGCATTTTGTGGCATGCAAGTACGTTCTCACTTTCACATGGCTGAGCAATTAACACCCTGCAGTTGTGAGAAAATACAGCAGTACTTTTACCCAACAGCATTGCAGTTGTGTCTGTCCTGGTGCGTGATACCTCCTGACTGGGAAACCCAGGTCACAGCTTCCTCCAGCCATGCAGGTGGGTCAGTGTTCAGGCAAAATTCAACAGAATGTGTCCAAAGTCACCAATGGAGTGTACAAAGGAGGGAATACTGATTAATAATATTAGATTAAGATTTCATTGATTTCCAGGAATGTAATTTAATAGGCAATGAAGAGCTGGTGCCCCCAGAAAGATTTATCTCCGATTCTTGGAAGCTGCAATCTGTTGAGTAACATGAGCACCAGCATTCATATCAGCAGCACTGGCAGGTTCACTCTTCAACAGTAATTACTGTTTTATTACTTTTTTAGCCAGTGTTGTAACAGATAAAGAACAAGATCGGTGGAATCATTCACAGTCACAGGCAAAGGAAATAGACTACAGAGACAAAACTGTGTAAGAATCCTGTTTGAACAGGAACTACTCCGGGCCAATGTGCAGGGGGAAGGATTCTGGGAAGCTAGGGCTGACGTAGCTGCTGCTGCTTTGACTTGAAGCTTGAAGTTTAATTAATCAGCGTGCTGGTGCAGAAATCAGCCTCAAAGTCACCCTATTGACTGAATCAAGTGAATATTTGCTCAGTTGCTTTGGTGCTGAGTTAGCTCAGCTCAGCTTTTGGTCTGGCTGGTGTTTCTCAACCTGGGATATAGCTCATACTCAAATAACTACCCATGTCAAATAATCAGCCATGTGTGGCTTGTCTCGCAGAGGATGCTCAGCCATGGGGTGTCTGCCAGGGGACTACACCAGCTGTGTGTGGGCACACCCAGGTTCTGTGCCCCAAGGCTGAGACCCTCTTCCTCATGAGCCAGTGGTGACCCCTACAGCACATCCCATGTATCTCCCACATTCAGCACAATGGCAAACTACATCCTGTTATTATTTATGACAGAAAGCTCACGTTCAACTTCTCTTTTTGATTTTCATTTTGAACTTAATAAAGAGAACCATCAATATCTCTGGTTGCAGGGATCAAGTTTTGGGGTCAAAGGAGGCAGCCTCCCCAGTGCCCACCCCTTCAGCAATGTCAGCAGAAGCAGGACTTGGCACAGTGCCTTTTGCCTATTGAAATTTGAACTTGTGAAAGTCCCTTTGATATGGCTGACTGTGCTTCCTTCCATCATGAATCACAGAGAGCATAAGTGGAAGTAACTGAGAGATACTGAGCGAGTCTTGCTGGCAGAAGTCCTAATGCTAGAAGCCTTTGCATCCAACCTTGGTTTTAGACACCTCGGTATGTGCCATCAAGAACCATCCCTGCACTGGCAGAGGGTGGGATGGGTTTTATTGAGAGGAGAGGTTTATTTGAGAGGAGAGGTGAGCAACCTGCTGCACCAAGCATGCCCAGAGCAGAGGGTGTAAAGTCCTGTGAGCTGCAGAAGAAAAGGAATGGATAGCTCCTGCTTCTTAACCAGGGCTCCAGCTACCAGGCTCTGTGTGAAAGACCATTACTTCTACTTCTTCCTCCGTTAGAGGCCTGAAAAGCATAATCCCCACTTGGGTCCACAGAAGAAAGGTAATTGCCTGATCTCATGCTGAAATGCAATTTTTGAAATGGATCCAACACTAAAAGCATCTGGAAAGAGGCTTTAAAGGCACTTTTAATGACTCTGCACTGATAGCAAATGAAAGAGAAAACACAGGAGCTGAAATCTGAGCACAAAGCTGTGCCATGCACAGCCAGAACCAGACTGGCTCCTCCCCACACAGGGCAGAAGTGGGCAAAGGTCTAGCAAGGGACTGACACCCACCCCTGTGCCAATGGGACAGTGACCCTGCTCTCCTGCTTCCCAACAGTCCTGACCATGGAAAGCCAGTTTGGCCAGTTCAGGGCTGGCACTCTAGGCTTGAACTAAGTCGTGCCACTGCAGTGTGACTGAACAGCTCTGTACAACCTCTCCTGGTATTTCAATGTCATTTCTACTGAGTGATTTGGATAAGCACAGACTAATATCCAGAGAATGCTTTAAAACAAAGCCATGTGTTCCCAGAAGATACACCCAAAGCATGACAAATGTATTTGAGATTCTAAACTGACCTGAATCGAAGCTGGCAATTAATCACTTAAATAAACAAAACAGGAAATCTCAGTGTTTCTCCCTGAATAAAGCTCACAGGTCCTTCCCCGAGGTGCATGTAAACTTTCTATTCAGTGTGTGTCTAGAGCATTGCCAGTTTTCTTGCAGGCTCAATGAACTGCTAGGCTCTGGGGAATTCGGCTGCATTTAATCAGCAAATGATTACATTTTCAAAAGGGGAATTCTTCAGAAAATACTGTCTGAGGTAAAAGTCAAGCTGTGAATAACCTAGTCAGGATGGCAGGAAGAGAATGCCACAAATGGTTAAATATCCCCTTCCAGGAAAAACAGTCACAACTAACAAACAGGAGGACAGACTTTATTTAATTGCAGTTTTAAAGTCTAACTGGCAGTGTAACAAAGCCCTGATCTGGCCCATCTTCATGCTCACATTGCCAAAAGACTGCCTGTCCCAACCAGCACAGCAAAACTGGGGCTGCTGTGGCACAGAGACAAGCCCTAGGAGGTCCCCTCCTGATTTCCCAGATACTTTTCAGGGTGCCAGTTATTTAATGAGCCAGGGCAGGGGAAGAGCCAGAGCCCAGGAGAGGTCAGGGTGATTTTAAGCAGCCTTTAGCATGTATGGAAAAGCCTTTTGCATCAGGCAAGCTCAGTTACTCCTCATGAAGCTGCCGATGAGTTGTGAAAATCTGTTTGCTAATGCAGACATGCTGATCTGTGTGGGCAACTGCATACCTCGAGGAACAGTCACCCATACCACCGGTGCCCAGGACAAGGCTCACCTATGTACGTGGGTTTAGTTAGGCATTACTTTAATGCATCCTTACAAAAGGTGCACAGCCCCTGCGCTGGATGCAATACCTGGGATATGTTTTGTGGCTTAAACATGGCTGGCAATGATCAATGCTCTGTCTGGCTCACCTGGCCGTGAAGCCGATGCAAGCTGGCAAGGGGAAGAAGGTGCCTCTGGATGCTGGGAGCAGTGTGCATCTGCTTAGCATCGCATCAGCTCAGCGCCGCAGGGACCGCTGCAGCGGCCCAGCCCTGGCTTTCCGAGGAGCAGAGAGGTGACTGGTGCCTGCCGAGGAGCAGAGCAGCGCGGCTCTGCTGCCTCCAGCACCAACGCCGGGTCACAGCACGAGATGACCTTGCCTATGCCACATTGTTACTGCTTTCTTTACATGCGAGCCACCCACCACCTCTTTCCACAGCGCGATCTACAACAGCCTACCTGAGCCACGCTCTCTAAGCATCACAGGCAGCGAAAGCGGTTCGTATGGCTGAGAAATGAGATGCCAATCTCTCACTTATCCCGCGGACCGCGAGAAGCAATTCTCCCTGACCACAGGGACAACTCCCATCAGCATCATCCCCACCCACACCTCGGGAAAACTGCTCTCCGCACTTGCCCTAGCCCCCGGCAGCGCAGTCCCGGCTCTACCCCACCTCGTGGACGTGGCCGAAAAGCCAGTGGGTCGGGTGCCCGGGGAAATCGGCCAGCGCCCGGAGCAGCTCCCGGCGCCG